CCTATTAAATGTTACTATGTTAATCATTTTCTAGCACTCTGTCAAGGTGCGTAACAGGTTTATATAACAGCCTGCAACACAAATGGCAGTAACTTCCACTCGCTCAGTATTTGGTCATTTATACAACATTTTCACATTCCTTGTCTCATTTGTAGTCACAAAAATCTTTTGTTAATACATTTTTAAAACATTTAATTCCAGTATAGGGGCCCTCTTTGGCTCAGTCATTAAGCGTCTGCCTTCGGCTCAGGTCATGATTCCAGGGTTCTGGGATCGAGCCCCGCATCGGGCTCCCTGCTCAGCGGGAAGCCTGCTTCTCCCTCTCCCACTCCCCCTGCTTGTGTTCCCTCTCTCACTGTGTCTCTCTCTGTCAAATACATAAATAAAATCTTAAAAAAAAACCATTTAATTCCAGTATAATTAAGTGTTATATTAGTTTCAGATGTACAATATCATCACTCAGTGCTCATCACGATAAGTGTACTCTTAATCCCCTTCACCTGTTTCACCCCACCTCCCCTCTGGTAAACTTCAGTTTATTCTCTGTAGTTAAAAGTCCGGTTTTTTGTTTGTTTCTTTGTTTCTTTTGTTTCCTAAATTCCACATATGAGTGAAATCCTATGGTGTTTGCCTTTCTCTGACGTATTTCACTTAGCATTATACTGTCTAGATCCATCCATGTTGTTGTAAATGGCAAGATTTCATTCTTTTTTATGGCTGAGTACTATTCCATTGTATATATATACCACATCTTTATCCATTCATTTATCAAAGGACACTTGGGCTGCTTCCATATTTTGGTTATTGTTTTTTTTAAAGATTTTATTTATTCATTTGAGACACAGAGATACAGACAGAAAGAGAGAGCACGAGCAGGGGGAGAGTCAGACAGAGAGGGAGACGGAGAGGGAGAAGCAGGCTCCCCGCTGAGCCAGGAGCCTGATGTGGGGCTCGATCCCAGGACCCTGGGATCATGACCTGAGCTGAAGGCAGACGCTTAACCATCTGAGCCACCCAGGCACCCCATATTTTGGGTATTGTAACTAATGCTGCAATAAACATAGGGGTGCATATATCTTTTGAATCAGTGTTTTTATTTTCTTTGGGTAAATACCCAGCAGGGGAATTACTGGATCATATGGTAATTTTACTTTTAATTTACAAAAGCTCTTTGAGAATGCTTTGTTTATATTCATGTATTTCTCTTGTTTATCTTAGCTAAACTCAAAAATCATAATTTAATTTTCCATTAAATGATTGCAAAGGTTAAAAATTAAATTACATAACTTTAGAACTTATAAACATTCAAATTGCACTGAGTGTTAAACCAGGGCCTGGTTTCTGATCCTAATTTGGCTTCTCTTTCTCTCTCTCTCTGAGTCTCAATTTTCTCTGCTAGAAAGTGGGCATGTGAAAGAAATTTAGGCTGAAGGATTAAATGAGATAATGGATCTTAGATGCCAGCACAGTATCTGGCTCGTTAAAGATTGGCTCTCCTAACATGGTCTCTAATGTCCATTTTCCTGCAATTCTAAAGCAATTCTTTTTTTTCTTTTTAAAAAGATTTATTTATTTTAGGGACACCTGGGTGGCTCAGTCCATTATGCATCTGCCTTCAGCTCAGGTCATGATCCCAGGATCCTGGGATCGAGTCCTGCCTTGCGGGGCGGGGGGGGGGGGGGTCCTTGCTCAGCGGGGAGCCTGCTTCTCCCTTTCCTGACGCTCCCCCTGCTGTGCTCTCTCTCACTCCCTCTGACAAATAAATAAATAAATAAAATCTTTAAAAAAAAGATTTATTTATTTTAGAGGACAGAGGGAGCAAGCAGGGAGAGGGGCAGAGGGAGAGAGAGAATCCTGAAGCAGATTCCCTGCTGAGCATGGAGCCCAATATGGGGCTTGATCCTAGGACCCTGAGATCATGACCTGAGCCGAAATCAAGATTCAGCCGGCTGCTTAATCAACTGAGTCACCCAGGCGCCCCTAAAGCAATTCTTAAAGTAACAGTCCACCTCGCACATATGTGTCAATGCTCTTAAAGAGATGCTCTGAGAGAAAAAGAGAGCTCAAACAAATTCATTAACATAGCTGATACAAAACCATCTCCCAGTTAATCAGATAATAACAGGCAAAGGATAGTGTTTTGACACTGTCATTTTGTCCCTGAGTTTGTTTGGGTTGGGTTGCAGAGAAAAAAAAATAGATGTGGTAGAAATAATCAACACAAAATAAAACTGACAATGGCTAAAACTACATGTGGTAAAAATTTATAATGGATGGAAAAGCAAACTGAATGATCCCATCTTTGTTGGTAACATTAAACATTGCAAAGTTGACCCTGGGAAAATTCCACTTGGTAGAAATAATCACCACAAAATAAAAATGACAGTGGCTCAACTCTCTTCCAGGAAAAGGTGGGATTGGTGGAAATAATGACCAGAAACTTCAAAATAGCTGAAGCAATAATCAGTGAAAATTGATAAAGATAAAAGATAACCGATAAATCTAACCTTTCTTATAAAAATGATAGAGAAAAATAGATCTTGATGAAAATCCATATAGAAAAAAATCTCAAAAAGTTAGAAATTGTTTAACTGTGCCATATAGAAAATTTATCAAGGGATAAAATTGGCTTAATAGAGTTGATTCCTGAAATACTTTAATAAGTTCATTAGTAATGGTGTAATTCTGAGTAAATAGCTTACCTGCCAACACTTCGCAGGGATTTGGAGAGAGAATCCTCAAATTAGATGAAGGGTTTGGACTATAAATGCCACCTTACAGTCTTCAAAGGACTTTCATAGTCATTGCTTTATTGGATTCTCCTAATAACATTTTGAGGTGACAGGGCAGGAATCTTTCCTTCCATTTTACAGATGTAAACACTGAGATTCAGGAAAGTTAAGAGATTTACTAAAGGTCACTCAGCATGTTCACAGCAAAGTCTGATTTAGGATCTGATTTCCAGATTCCTAGTCTGGTAAACTTCCTCATACCTATGCCCCTAACTCTGCTAATGCTTTATATGCGTGCCAGATCAGATTCCTTCTAATTCTGATCTTCACCCAGCCCCCACTTTCTGCCAGTAGGAGAAGTGGGAAAAAGGAGGAGGAGAGGGAGTAAAGAGACTTAGAAGAGGGCATGGCCAATGCAACATTTAGAGAGGGGAAGGGACTTGCCTGTCACATAGCCAACATGTCATAAGCATTTTTCTTACTCAGAAAAGGGAGCAGAGGGGCTAGGATTTTTTGACGGGTGTGGGGGGACTGGGATTTTAAGGCTGGGCTAATAGGTTGAAAAATGAGATAAGCTGTTTAAAAATGACAGTGCCTGATATGCTTGGGGAAAGTGAGTCATAAGGAATAGGAGTGTAACTAGAGTAGGTGGAGTGAAGCTGAAGAGATCCGCAGCAGCAGGGCTGTGGACCTCATTAACCTCTGATATAGGAGAACTGGCCTTTCTCAGGTAGGCCTGAGGTTCTCCAGTGGGCTGGCTAGTGGAGCTTGAATGTTCTGGGTGTTCAGAACATCAAGGAATAATGACATATAAAATCTAAAATACTGTAACTGAATACAGGATTTATGCTACATCAGAGATCGTCTGATGCCATATTCCATATGCTAGGAGAGGTAGACACAGAAGAAGGAAAACTTTTTTTTTAAGTATAAGACTTACTTATTCAGTCTATAGACAATGTTTTGTTTAAGTAGAGCTTTGCAATAAAAACCCTTTACAATAACTGTTCCTCCCTCCTCACTCCCTGTCTCCACAGAGATATCTGGCCCACAGATTAAAAACCAGTGCTGTAAGAATTCAGATACAAGGAAGATCAATGTGCCTAAAATATGTTCTAGGGAAAGTAGGACTTTGGCTTGAGTTTCAAGAATGAGGAGAAAAGGAGGAAATGGCTGTGGAAAGAACAGAAGGAGGAAAATTTTGAGAATAGACGATGAAAATAGAGAACATTCTTTCTACTGATTTAATGGTCTTTTATGAATTGTAAGTTACCACCATTATTCGTTTTAATAGTGGAACTGTTGAGCTCACAGAAAAGCCAGACAGGCCTCATCCTGGAGCACCACTGAGGGCAATAGGAAGCCATAGTAAGCTTTTTAGGCAGCAAAGTATGGTTGTTGCATTTGGAAATTACATTTTTTGAAAATAGTCTTATAACTTAAAAAACTATGTGCTCTTTTTAAACAATTCAGGCAATAAGAGAATAAAAATTACTTGAAATCTAACACCCTTTCATCCAAGATAATCACTAATAATATTTTGGGGAACCTCTTTCCTGAAATCTCTTTATGCTTATAGAATATTGTCTCAAACATCACATAAATTATACCATTTTATTTTTCTTTAAAGATTTTATTTAACTGACAGAGAGAGAGAGACAGGGTGGGAGGGAACACTAGCGGGGGGAGTGGGAGGGGGAGAGGCAGGCCTCCAGCCGAGCAGGGAGCCTGATGTGGGGCTCGATCCCAGGTCCCCGGGATCATGACCTGAGCCGAAGGCAGTCGCCCAACCGACTGAGCCACCCAGGCGCCCCTAAATTATACCATTTTTAAACATGCTGTTCTGTAATCAATTTGTTTCCCTCGAGAGTAAATTGTGAATAGCTTTTCATGTCAATAAATAGATCTATATCATCATTTTGAATAGCTGCTTACTACTGTTTGTATATATAATTTAACTAGCCCTATTGACGGACATTTACACTACCTCTGTAATCAACAATCCCATATAACCACCTTATGCATTCATCTTTCCCAAAATGTTTCATTCTCTTTTTAAGGTAAAAATTTGAAAGTAATGGAGCGGGGTCAAGATCTTTTCACACTTGGATTTCAGTTGCCAAATCGTCCTCTGATTTGCAGGGAGACCAGGAGGAAGCTGCTGCATTAGTTCTGGTGTGACAGTGGCAACGGGGATGGCGATGAGAGTACAGACTCAGGTGATCTATCCCATCTAGGCCTATCCTCAGTGGGTTGGCATATTCCTACCCTTTTTCCTCTCTTTCACTTCTTTTTCTTAACATGGAGGAAGAACTGAGAACTGCATCTCCCAGCATTTCGCAGGCACCACCCCCCCCCCGCCCCCCCGGGAACTGTAGTACCGCGTTTGAGAAGGGTCCGGAAAGAGGGCGGGAGACTGTGGGGCATGCCGGGAAATGTAGTCCAGCGGGGGGTGGCGGCGGCGGTGGGTGTATGTGTGAGTGTAAAAAGGTTGGAGACGCCGCAAACATCGCTACTTGGAGAGAGGGCATTTAACTTTCCTCACAAACGGTCTCTGAGTCTACAAAAGCCGCCGGCGGATGGTGGACTTTACTCCATTGTCCGTAACCTGGGACGATTCAGCCCCTCGGCATAAGGCGCGCGGCTGACAGCGCAGGCCTGCGGGCCGGAGCAGGGGATGCCGGGAGTTGTGGTCCCGGCGAGCTAAGGCTGTGGGACGTGTCGCGGCGCCGCGTTGGCTCCTCCTTCCCCGCCCTTCTTAGCGGTCCCCCGCCCCCTCCCTCCGCCTCCTCCTCCCTCGCCCGCAGCCGAGCGTCCCCTCCCCCCACCCGTCGGGCTCTTCGTCGGCTACTGCAGAGGATTCAGAGCCTAGTCTGAGGAGGAGGCTCCCGTTCCCTGCGCGCCATCCGCCACCTTACTGGACACCGGCGAGGGAGCGAGAGCGTCGCCACTGTAGCCTCCAGAGAAGACAAGGGCATCGCCGCCTCCGCCGCCGCCGTCGTCTTCGCCTGCAGCGGCTAGCCGGTGAGGAGACCCCCCCCCCTTCCCTGCTCCGCTCTCCCGGAGCCTGGGCCGGTGGTACTTACCGAGAATGAGAGTGGGGGCTGCGGACACCCCGCGCGGGTTGGGGGAAGGGGGTTGAGGTCGCGATGGAACGGCGGGTTGGCAGGGGAGACTTGTCCTGGCGCGGGGCTGGGGGTGGGGTGAGGGTGGGACCCAAGCAGGTTGAGGGGGGCGACAAGGGAAGGGGACTTTTAATAGCGATTGACCCGATATGGGACCGGAGCGTGAGGTTGGGAGGTCGGGGTGGAATTTGGGATGGTTGTGGGCGAGATGGATGATGAGAGTGGAGTGGGATGGCTTTTAATGGGGGAGGGGACTGAATGAGGGTGATGGATTTGGGGTTGGCTTGGAGCAGTTGACAGCTTGGGATCCAGCCGGGGTGCAGGGTAGGGGGATGATTTAAACAGACAGTGGGATTTCAGGTTTGGATAGGACCCTGGGGGAGGGGTGTTAATTCACGAGGGTGGAATTTGGGGTGGACCTAAGGCAGACTGATGGATGATGGAGGTGGTAGGAGCTGGGAGTAAGGGGCTTGGCATGGGTTGAGACCTGAGCTTGAAGTGGGCGTTTGCCATCTCTGGGTGGTGGAATTTGTGGAGACTTATGGAATAGAGTGGATTAGGAGAGCAGAGGGGGTAGAATTTGGGGTTTTTCTGGGGAGTGCTATTGGAGGTTGGAATGGGAGCTGGTGGGGGTGGGACTTTCAACGAGAGGAGTGTGATGGTGAGCTGGCAGGAGGGGGGTAAATTAGAAGTTAGGCCCCAAATGGGCAGGCAGAGATTGAAATTGGAGGGGGGCACAGGGGATGGGATTTAGTGTGATTTTAGAACAACTGCAGAAGGCATGGTGGCTCCCTGGGTTCAGGCTTGAGGCAGAGGGCTCAGAAGATGCTGCTGGGCTAGACTCACTGAAAGAATAGTGGCAGGTGGTGAACAAGGTTGGGGGATGGTATCTTGAAGAAAATGTCCCTTGGCCGAGGTGGTAGAGGGAGTTTTGGGGAAGGAGTGTCTGAGATGAACTGGTAGGACTGGAGAGGTGGTTGCTGATAATAAGGTGGCAAAGAGGCTATTTAAGGAGTGGGAAACCTGGAGTTGTAGGTATGGATGGGGCAGGGAGGATGGAGTGGGGCAGGGAGCAGGGCTGGGAAGAGGTGCATTGAATGATTCTAGAGAGGAAGGATTCTGATGTCCTCCAAGAGACACAAGAGGGTAAGGGGTTGGACTTAAATGGACAGCTTTGGAGGCTGTGGTTGGGGGAGGGACAGTAATCAGGGGACAGAGAAGGTACATTAAAGACTCTTTTTTCCTAGAGGATGTCCTAAGCTGTTAGTTCAATCTTTTTGTTTCATTTGTATTAGTATCATTAGCAAATCAACCCGAAGGGTAAAGTTAAGAGGGGCTTCAGTTAAAGTAGAATTAAGCAGGGGGAGGGTGTTTTCTATTCATTTATTATAAAAAGAAAGTTTGGGGGAGAAAACCTACTCTTGAACTAAAGGTGGAGAAGATAAAACTGGAATGTGATAGGTATCTTTCTATATGATGTCTCTGCCTTCTCCTTTCCGCCCTCCCCTTGGTGCATTTAAAAATTAGTCCTGGAATTTGGAATTAAATAGATTTGATGAGCTTGAGGAATTTAAGGGAGCATTCTTTGCTTGAGAACCCATGAATGAAACTGAAAAATATGAGGCTGAATTTATTTCCTAGTCAGGCAGCGTGCACGTATGTAGAAAGAGCTTAGGCCTTTTTTTTTTCTCCTCTTAAAATTGATTGTCTGAAGACTCCATTTATTGGTGTCCTGGTTTGCAAGGCAATTAGGCCCATCATTGTATTGCAGGCTAATAATCCTGAGATGAATCTTGGCACCACTGCTTTATGTAAACAGAGAGAAGACAGGAAATATGGAAATGTCATAAATATTCATTGGTGAAATGGTTTGGTATTGATGGAGTTTTTCATTTGATTCTCTTTTGGCATTACTTGATAAGATTTAAAATAATTGGACTATATTTCTATAGATTGAATTTTCTTCTAAAGGAATTCAGGTGGTCAGAATTCTGTCAGATGTGGATAAATACAGCATATAGAATCATTTTTATTTTATTTTTTAGGGTTCGGTGTTGATGTAGGCACATTGCATTAACTGCAGCAACAATGTCTCCATCTATTCATCAGCAATTTTATTTAAAGCTTCATGATATGTTCATTCTTACGGCAGAATGGTGATGCTGGAAGGTAGAGAGGGGTGTGACTGGGGGAAACAGCTTTAGGGAAACAATTTTCTGCACTTAATTGCATTAACTATGATATGTTAAACATGAAGTGGCTGTTGATTAGAGCTCAGACTGAGAAAACGTGGGGAGGGATGTAAAGAGGATAAAATTGGCATCAGCAGGATCAAATGATTCTGTTTTTGTTCCAGCTTCAGAGTTCAGCTCGTAAACAAACCATTTTCTTTGGTTTGACAGTTGAGCACATAAAAATGCCCAATATTTAGGATCCTTATTTTTTTTTTGTAGTTCCAAAATGGGCAGAATGATGGAAGGTTGGCCTTATCCTTGGAATTGAAAGTGTTTTGTTATAAGGAAGCTTTATTATAATAAAGACCAGGTTTGAGCAGTTACCTGTAATTTGATGAGAGTGTAATCTAACTAATGCAAGCATTTCTCCTCATAACTTAACTCTGGGGTCCAGACATTGCTTTTGTGGATCTGCAGGCTTGAGCTAGAGGTGAGATATTTATACTAAAGCTCTGGCTTTTGAAAGCTCAAAATGAAAAGTAATCGCCTGGGAGAAATGTCTTGGAGGATTTTTTTTTCTCCCCTCACAGCTGTGGGCACCTGTACAATGGAAATGTATATATAAAGTGTTTGTTTGATTCTTCTAATGTTCTGGTAAGAAGGAGAGAGCAGATGGAGGTACTGGTAGACAGGCCCCTTGGTAATGAATGGCCTGTGAATTTAGAGGTGGAGAGTCCTGACTTCAAATTTCCCATTCCACCACTTGATAGCTGAGTGATTTCAGTAACATCATTAAAAACCTTTCAAACTTAGTGGTAATGGTTGCACAACATTGTGAATGTACTTATCCTGAATTGTACACTTAAATATGGTTAAAATAGTAAAAACAAACAAGAACTTTTATACTTCGCAAGGCTGTCAAGGGAAACAAATCAGTTCATGTCCTAAAATAACTTTATGACCTGAAAACACTGTACATATATGAACTATTCAATATTTATTTAGTTATTACCTGCCAAATATCAGGGGAAATGAAAATGAACAAAAAACAGTTGTCAAGGAGTTTTCATTGTCAGGAGAGAGATGATTTAAGTATGGTGAGAAGTGAGGCATAACTAATGTGATGGTTAAAGGTGTGGATTCTGAAGTGGGTCCACCATTCACTGCTAGCTGTGTGACCTTGGGCACAATGGTCTTATCTGTAAAGTGGGCATGAGAGAGTAATTGCGTAGGGTTGTTTTGAAGATTTAACAAAATAATCCATGGAAAGTATTTAACAGTGTGGGTTGGTTACATAGTACACATTAAAAAATATTGTTGCCATTATTATGAGATAGGAAGATACTAGAATGGGAATAGCCTTGTATGTCCTACCATTGGGTTTTTGGTATTGTGTTCTATAATTTATTAAAGAGGGATTACTTTGTATTATCATCTCACAATTTATCTGCATATTTGCATGTTTACATATTTGCATATTTGTAGTCTAGGAACTTTAATCAGTAAAATACTAAACATATGTCTTAGCTGTTAGCTTCCTCATCTATAAAATAAGAAAAACTGCTCTGAGGGTTTAAATGACTTGCTTAAGGTTACACAGTAAGTGGAAGAGTCTGGGTTACAGCTCCCAAATTCTGATTTCTCAGCCCTGTTTGTATCTTTTTAAATTGTGAATTAAACCATATGTATAAAAGTGCATATAACATATCTTTAAGGAGTGGAACAAATTGAAGATCGATGTTTTTCCTACTTGGCTTAAAAAGGAAATTTGTAGTACCTTTAAAGCCTCTGTGATTCCCTGCCTGATTGAATGTCTCTCCTTCTCTCTACCTCATAAGTAACCACTTTCCTAAATTTTGTGTGAATCATTCCCTTTCTTGTCTCTGTAGTTTTACCAAACAAGTGCATATCCTAAACAACATATATATTTTTTAGCTTTTTTTTATTTATTGAGAAAGAGAGAGAATGGTAGAGAGCATGAAAGGGAGGAAGGTCAGAGGGAGAAGCAGACTCCCTGCTGAGCAGGAAGCCCGATGCGGGGCTCGATCCTGGGACTCCAGGATCATGACCTGAGCCGAAGGCAGTCGCTTAACCAACTGAGCCACCCAGGCGCCCAACGATATATATATTTTTTATCTCTGCAACTTTATATAAGAATCGATAGTGTGAGTATTCTTCGACTTGCTTTATTTTATCTATTATTATTTTTTTAAAGAGTTTTATTCACTTATTTGAGAGAGAGCACACATGAGCGGGGAAGAAAGGCAGAGGGAGAGAGAGAAGGAGGCTCCCGCTGAGCAGGGAGCCCAATGTGGGACTCCATCCCAGGACCCCGGGATCACGACCTGAGCCGAAGGCAGACGCTTAACCTACTGAACCACCCAGGTGCCCCAATTTTTATCTGTTTTAACTTTAAAAGAGCTTTATTTCCGGGGTGCCTGAGTGGCTCAGTCGTTAAGCGTCTGCCTCTGGCTCAGGTCATGATCCTGGGGTCCTGGGATTTCGCCCCGCATCGGGGTCCCTGCTAGGCGGGAAGCCTGCTTCTCCCTCTCCCACTCCCCCCTGCTTGTGTTCCCTCTCTCGCTGTGTCTCTCTGTCAAATAAATAAAATCTTAAAAAAAAAAGCTTTATTTCTTCCACCATTAAAATAACATGCACATGGTAGAAATTGGAAATTACAAAAAGTAAAAGGAAGCAGAATTATTGTCTATAATCCCATTATCTG